AATAACTAAGAAGCGATTGATGTGAAGCCAATCGTAAAGATTTGAGTTATTATAGAGTTATTATTGAAGTCATTTTCATCAGATATGATATCTAACTAAAGCTTAATAGTTCAATTGGTCAATGAATTGAATACAAATATACGGTATATCACAACAAATTAGATTCCGCTCCAATTGTTATAGAGTTTCCTTATTATAAGTTATAATTTTCAATTAATAAGTTTTACATCAAATATTGTAACAAAAATTACTTCAAACTAATCATTTTAATTTAAATCTCAATTTTATATATTCTAATCCCCAATTATAGCTAATACTTTTGAGCTCATTATTAGTCTGTTTGTTATCGACAAGTTATGCCTCGAATATTGTCGAGAATGAAAGTCAATTATCACAGTTATCACAGTTATCACTGTTAGCCAATAGTGAAGTCAGTGATGTTAAAGATCTGTTGAGCTCAGAGACAGCGATAGTTGACTCGACCCAAGACTTAGTGGCCGCTGAGGGTCGACAATCCCACGGCAAAGGTCACGGCCATTACAGCAAGTATGGCGGCCATCACGGGGGCGGCAAACATGGCAAACATAGTCACGGACAGCACGGACATGGACATAAGCACGGCAGCAATCACTATAAAAAGAAACATAAACACGGAGGGTATGTCTTACTTTAGATTAACATTTTAATACTAGTAATAATATGAAAATAATTGCTTTTCAATAGACATCACGATTACGGAAAAGGAGGACACAGTCACGGGAAATGGGGTTTGATTTAACTCGTGATTATATTTCAGCAATTATTGATTCATTTGTGAGTAATTCTCTGATAGGCGGTAAAAAGGGTGGCAAATACAAGCACGGGGGCTGGCACGGAAAGAAGCATGGTCATAATTCATATGGGGGTAAAGGCAAGAAGGCGGGCGACAAAGGAATGGATTGGTATAAGGATAAGGGCGCTAAGAAACACGGCTGGAAGAACTCATACCATAAGGAGGAGTGGGGAGACAACAAGAAATACCACGACGTCTGGAGGTATAGATGCCTTGTCTATAGTTAAACACATAAACTGAAGATCACATGAATTATGTTTTGTTTAGGGATAAGGACTGGAAGAAGAAGTGGAAGAGTTGGAAGGATTACCGTAATCATCATCACGGAGATAAATACAAAGGAAATCATGGCAAACAGGTGTATATCTTGTTAATGGATGTATTATTTGTGATTCTGTAGAATCTAACGAATACTGTGACACCTCTTTAGTATCACAATAAGAAACATCACGGAAAGCATTACGACAAACACGGAAAAGGTTTGCAAACATCTCTCGCAAAGTGAATGTTAATACAAAATGTAATACAAACCTCTTATGGATCAGGTGGTTGGAAACACCATCACGGAAAGGACTACCACAAGGGTGGCAAATCGCACCATGGTGGACACGGCCATAAATACGGCGGTGGTGGACATCATAAGAAATATTATGGAGGTAATCTTTACATAATATGTCATTAGATTGTT